GAATTTGTTTGCAGCCCTTTAGCCATCATTTCAGATGCTGTAGATTGCCTGTCTGACCTCCAGCTGCTGATCCTGGTCTCAGGTCTCTTCTGGATCCTGCCAGTCTTCTTTACACAGATGCCTCAGGTCTCCCAGGACATACTGGGCACCCACCTTGCACCCTGAGCCCATCTCACAACAGACACCAGCACGAGGGAAAAGCTGGCAGAGACTTCTGATCAGCTGCTGTGAACAATTTAACTGGAAAATGGGCAATATTAGAATGTCTTGGAGTTGAATGGACCTTTACCACCAGTCACTATAATTGACCCAAATTCCCACTGGCAAAGCTGCAGAAAGCAGCTGTGTGTACCCATACGGCCCAGAACTACTGTATAACATCCAAACATCCAGAGTATTTGTCACACACCCCAATTTAAAGTTTTTGGGAGTAGCGGATAAACAGCGTTTGTGAGTATTTCACCAAGATAGAAGTTCACTGGAACAGAGAGAGACCTGAACTTGACAGGACTCTGCTTTGGCTGCCAGCTCTTCCAAGCTTGCAATATTTCATGTTTCAAGTCCTGTATTTTAACCAATGTGCAGCATGTTTCTGACCTCCATGTTTATTAAACATATTGAAATTTCTGGCCTCCATGGAGAGAAAAAGTCTATAAACAACCTTACCAGCCATAAAAGATTAAGGCAGTGAAAGGAGCTAAAAATCTACTAGAATGGTACTACAGGCTTGTGCTTGACTTGTCTTTGGGGGGGGGGGGTTGTGTTATTTTTGGTAGGTTGGGTTGGGTGTTTTGGGGCTTTTTTTTTGTTTGGTTGGTTTTATTAATGCAACACTGGCACCATCACTTAGGAAGTTGGATTTGATGTCAGGCCTCTGTGAGGTGTGAAAGACCTATGTATAGTTTTGCACCTTTATTATCTGCCTGGTGTTGCCCTGTATTTGTTCCAGCCAGGTCATGTCTCCTGTCACACAGCCCCTCTGCTGCGTTCAGGGCAGCACGCTAAGCCTGGCTAAGTTCTTGCACTTGCTGAAAATTTTCAAAACTATAGTGAAACTAGCTACCACGGTGCTCAGAGCAAAGATTTTAAAGCTTCTGCACTCCTGACACAGTTGCCTTCTCAGGATTACTAATTTTCACACCAGTAACAGTAGCTATAAAAACACTGAGGAGAGTAGGGACCTCTCCTCACACCCAAATTTATGTCAGTCCTTCCTCTTGTGTTACACCCTGAAATCCTTCCCGAGTGTCAAGGGGAGAGGCGATCAGTGACAGAATTACTCCATTCAAACAATGCTGGCGGCTAAAGTATTTGCCTGGGGAGAGGAGGGCTTAACTGACTGGTCATTAAAGTTTCATGCAATCCCCCCTCTCAAGAGAGCAACTCTCAGCTGTTCGTTCACAGCTCTATAGAAAGCACAGACAGAATAAGGACATGAACCAGAAAGGTATTTTAGATCCATTAGTTATAATTTACACACCGATGACATACAGCATAAAGACAAAATATACAGATCTTCATATATATGTACATTGATCAACACAGTGCACAATTTTAAGTTATGTTACAATTAAGTGTACAATTTTAAATATGGCTTTATAAACTAGTAATAACAGTGCCAAAATAAAGTATGTCTCGTGTAGTTCATAGACAAATACCATAATGTAGCTACAGCATCAGAGCCCCCATTTAGAAATGTGTTGCTTCATTTTGTTAGTTAAACCTTGTACACTGCAGCTAGCTGGATATATCCCTCGCCCATACACATCTACATAGATTTTATTCTTGCTAGATTGCACACCCCTGTCTTTGGGACTTGCATTCTTCAAGTATCCTGAAAAAATAAAAACCTGTACATTTGAGGAAAGATAAGCCAGAAGAACAAATTAGGAAGTGAAGGAAGAACACATACAATCACAGTGCCTAGTGAAAATATCAACGTGACCAGTGCAGCCAAAAAAAAGCACTTTTTTTTTCAGGGAACTTAAAAAAGAACCACAGTCACATCTTGTTTGCCTTACTGTCTCCAATAAAGCAAAATTTTACTTAATTATAATTAGACAGGAATGAGAGAAGTGGTAAATTTGGGGTCACTTGGAAGCTGTGTTGGAAACTCCAGCTGAAGTAAATTGGCACTTTTGTCAACGACTTCGCAGTGGAGCAGGATTTTATTTATTCCGCAAAACTTGAGCGCCTTTTGGAAGCATATGTTTCAGCTTTAGCTTGTTGAGCTGAATGTGTAAATCATTACATGAAATCCCACAAACCTTTTTATGCTGAAGTCTGACCAAAAGCCTGAAACGATCTCCTTGACCTTGAAAAACCTGGGAGTGGTGCAACCAGGACACAGAACTAAGAGTTTAACATAGCAGCAACACACAGTGTTTTCAGTGACTGGCATTCCTGTGCTGTACAGAGACTAATACCATTTAACTTTCCAAATTGCTCAGAGAGCTGCAGAAACCCCTGCTAAGAAGTATTTCACAGTGGGGCATCTCCATAGGGAATGAACACAGAAGAAGCCCTGTCCAATGGCCACCAAAGAGAGGACTGCCTCAAACCACTGAGACAGAGCTGATTGATGTTGCAACCCTTCTCCCCACCAAGGCAAAGCTGTGATGAACTGGGGTCACTGGCCTGAAAATGAGATGCACACACACAGTGTGGGGAAATACCTTCCCTCCACAGGACACCAGCTCAGTACCACAGCCCACATTCACCAGCAGGCTCAAAGCTCTGCTCGCTGCCAATGCTCACTCCCAAACAGACCTTTGTCTCTGCAGCTCAGACACGGGATGACAGCAGGCTGACGTCCCACAGGAGCCACACCTACCAAAATGAGCCTCTGCAGAGTCTACCCAGCACTGAGGAATACCCAAGGCACAGCATACATGGATACCCCATAGCACTGATCAACTGCTGAAAGCCACTGCAGTCATTCAGAGTTACCTCTAGTCCTCTGGTTCCGTGGGATTAAACAGTACAACCTGCGTGCTCCTCCAGATCACAGCTGCTGAGATGCATGGGCATGACTCACACCTGTGGGTACCCATTTCCATATCCCAGCTACAGGACCATCCAACTTAATTCTGCATTTAGAGAGCATAATTTGCTTTATTAGTATCACATGCCTAAATCATAATTTTGCAGTATTTGGGGAGGGAAGGAGGGTTAGGCCAAACAGCTACTTGTCAAAAAAGAGATGCAAATTCTTATTCAAACATCTAAGGACAAGACCCACTTGAATTCATCCCCTGCCACAGAAATTTCACTTGGTGAGCTGCCCTGCATAAATCTGCACATAACACGCTTTTCCAGCAGGCAATATTTTGTAAGGCTTAGCATCTGACAGATACAGGCCTTTCAAGGAAAACAGTATGAAACTGTCATGATTACTTGAGCAGACATCACTGACAAAAGCAAATTTGTGCCTGAACGTTGCTGCAGAAATATTTCAGGCAGTATTTTTTCAAAGAGAATATAGATCTGGAGGGACATTGCCAAGGTTTTAAAGATCAAAATGTGTTACTTGCAGTGCTATAATTGGATGGAAACAGTCCTCCAGATCTGAAACATCAGGTTCAGTTTGGTTTTTAAATCAAACAGCACATTTGCAGGATTTCTGTAGGACCTATACATCCCAGTGCCTGTTTCCCCCACACAGTAACAGTGAGCTCTGCTGACAGAGCCAATGAGACCGACAGGGGTAAACAAATCCCTTCTGACATGACAGAGTGTCACACCGTCAAAAACTGCAATTCACATGAAAAAACCCAACAGGCTGCTTCAAATCTAACTCCATTGGAAATGCAGGGTATGCTTTGAACTCTCATTTGCCAAATGAGGGGCAGACCAATTACTCCTTCTTTTAGAGCAGCACTATGGAAACACAAAGACAATACTCAGCCTTTGGCAGTATTTAAGGTAAAGTAACCAGGAGGAATGGTACTGTCCCCTCACCAGGATATGGACTCATGCTGCAGCTCATAAGCAGAGCAGGCGTCCCATCCATCCACTGGAACAGTGGCATGAGCCAGGCCACAGCTGCAGCCTGAGTCCTCCTGCAGAGACCCACCATGTGGCAACCCCCTGTATCCCACCATCCCCTTCTACACTGCCTTCTCCAGTGACCATCCAAGGGCTTCTCTGCCCTATTTTGAGAGAGGCTGGACAGTGCAGAGGAGCCCCAAGACAGCTTTCCTGCTGCCAGTACCCTGCACCACCATCTACCCCAAACTGGGTCAGGGCTGTGGCTGGGACCAGGTTTGGTACCTGTGATGCTCTCAGAGACATCACTGGCACCTGACTCTTCTATCAGTGGCCCCTGAACCCTTCCTAACATCGCCCCACAGTGACTTTCCAGCTGTGGCAGAGGGACCCCTAACTAGGGAAAAACCTTATGTGGTCTGTGTCACCTCAGACATGATGTCCTGGCGTCCATCAGGCTCCAGCTCCTGGCAGAAGCTGCTATCCCAGCTCACCTGCTGGGCAATCCACAGCTGTCCCAGGTTTCATGGCTGCAGAGACCCTGCTGACCCCCAACCCCACCAGCAGCACAGTCAGGACCTCCAGCATCCCTACAATGGACTCACTCGCAATTTTGATAAGTGAGGGAGGGAAAAAAATTTTAAAAAAAAAAAAAAAGGAAATAAAGATGCTCTCTGACTATTTTTAGTTCTGTACAGCCTCTCAGAACTAACACTAAAAATAGATATGATGGAATGGGGAAAAAAAAAAAGACTGCAGGATTAAGAAAATGTTGTTCTTTTAGCGAAATTTTGGGAAGTCAAAAACAAATGTTCCCTTTTTAAAAAAACACATTTTTCTTTTTTTTTCCATGCAAACCAAAATAAATGAACACTTTTAAATTTTTTTAAGCTTTTTAGTTTTTTTTTTTTTGTTTCCCCACAACAATTTACCAAGACAGCTTTTAAAAGAAAATGCATGGATTAATTCCTTTTAAAGAGGTCTGACCTCCTTTAGTGGTCATTTAATGACTGGGACTCATCTGCTGCAAGCACACCTTGCAATGCTGAACAAATGGAGAAAGCACAGCCTTCAAACATGCATCAGTAAATGAGTGAGAAAATCTCCATCAGAATTTCCAACACACTAATGATTTTAAATAGGAGCTTTTTGATGCAGATTCCTTTTATTCAGAATATCAATACCTACATTTTTGCAGATGAAATCTCTCCTGACTTGGCCATGGAGTTACTCAGGCATTTCGGGCCATCACCTCTGCACTTTCAAGCCCAAAACTTACCGTCTTGTGCCCTATTCTTGTGCTTAGTTTCCTGAGAAGGGTCCCAAGTAACTGGAAGGTATCTTCCTCCTCGGCTTTGGTTCACTTTGCAAATGGTACTTGCCCACAACATTGACTGGAACATGGCTTCAGGGACATGCCCAGGGAGTTGTGGAAACAGGTGTAAATGCACACTGAACTTGTCAGCTCTCACTGCCATGGCTCCCATGCACGAACAGACCTGGTGCTTCAGTGCAGACAAACGTGTCCCTGCTTTCAAAACCATGGCTAACTCCATGTTTCCCCAGAGCAGGTCCTTTCCTCTGCAGGAGGCACTCCAGGATCCCAGGGAGCAAGCTATTCTTTGAGTGCTGGAGTTATTTCAAGGTCCAGACTCACTACAACTACCAACAATTAACATCCTAAAGCAGTTGTCTGCTCTGTCTGCTCTTAGAACATTTGGTACAACCAACACATTATAAAAATTTTGCTGAGGGATCCTGATTCATCTAACTGTAAATCACTGAGGAAGTCATAATTAAAATGGGCCACCAACAAAGTCTGCAGTCAAATACTCAATTTTATATGCATATTTAAAAACACAATAGCCCAGTATGATTGATGCGCTCTCTCTCTACTAAAATCAACTAATCATGGCTAAGCAACACTGAATTATATGCTTAACTTCAAAGTTGTGAGTAAATCCAACGGATTCATTCTCATCTCTAACCTGCATTTAGGGAGACATGATCATGAAGCATGTCAGAACCTGTGCAATCATTTTGAGATCCAGACCCATAGATATGCCAGCAAAGGCAACTTAAATTCAGTTCTGGTCATGCTTTCAGTATCTGAATTTCCCCACACACATGGCAGTGCTGAGGGAACTGTCCCATCTCACCTCCTCCCATGCATCAGCTTTAGGAACTGTGCACTGCAAGCCAGCACAGAGCCCAGCACTCCCTGAAGCACCTCCCTCTGCAGCTATAAAGCATTCAATCCCTGGGCCAACATCTTGCAACTACACAGCGTCCCATGCCTACTAATACCTCAAACTGCTTTGCAGCCTTCATGGGTTTGCTACGTCTGTTGGTAAAGAACACAAAGCACCCACTGCTGAGACACATTAGACTTTTAGCAACAAATCCCATTAGCCTTGCCTAGAAATAGCTGACAGCAGCCATGGGCAGGGAGTAAAAACATAGTAATAATTCAAAAACACGGAAGAAATTTTACCAACACACATTCCAGATGAGTTAACGCTGTTATCTCCCTCCTGCATAAAAGTATTTTAGAGCAGTGATTTCAACCTTCTGCAAAGAACAAGAAACACTAACCAGCTCCTTTATGTAGGAATATGTTTTCCTCCATCCTTGCCTGACTGCTTCCATAAGAACTGGGAGCAGTTATTTTCTGTAGACCCTGTAATATATGCACCCAAAGTATAGGTAGCTATCAAATAAAATTCCCGTGAAACTTTACCAAATCACAGAATCTTTTAGGTTGGAAAAGACCTTTGAGATCATCAAGTCCAGGTGTAAGCCCAGCATTACCAAGACCAACAACAACAATGTCCCCAAAGTGTCACATCTATGTGGCTTTTAAATACCTCCTGGGGTGATGATTGGGAAGCCTGTTCCAATGCTTGACAACCCTTCCAGTGAAGTTTTTTCCCAATATCCAACCCAAACCTCTCCTGGCACACCTTGAGGCCATTTCTCTTATCCTAGAGCTTGTTGCCTGGAAGAAGAGACCAACCCCCATCTTTCTACAGTCTCCTTTCAGGCAGTTGTAGAGAGCGATATGGTCTCTCCTGAGACTCCTTCTCTCCAGGCTAAGCACCCCCAGCTCCCCCAGCTGCTCTTCACAAGACTTGTGTTCCAATTCCTTTCACCAGCTTCACTGTTCTTCTCTGGACATGCTCCAGCACCTCAATGACTTCCTTGCAGTGAAGGGTCCAGAACAGAACACAGGATTTGGGGTGCAGCCTCACCAGTGCTGAGACAAGGGGACAATCACTGCCCTGGTCCCGCTGGCCACACTATTGCTGGTACAGGCCAGGGTGCTGCATGAATCTGATGCACCTCAGCACACCACTAGCTTAAACTGAGATGGCAGTCAACCAACACCGCCAGGGCCTTTTCATTACAGCATCAATCATTTTCTTCCACGGAAGAAAGCTGTGCCAGTCATACCTCTTCCATTTTTGTGCTCAACCCGTTGCTGTAAAGATAAGATAACAACACAAACCAGATGTGACAAATGCTCCACTTCCCAGAAGTTCGTCCCACTTGGATGGGGAATCTGGTTTTGAACATGAACAAAAATAGACTTAAAGGTTCTGCTGCCCTCTAGACCTCCAGTCTGCTCACGTGTGTTTTCAATGTGTTTATCTTGGTCCACCTGAACAATTACACAAAACAAAATACAGTTGAAATAGTCCAAGCAGTATGTGACAGCTGAATCAAGCACAATGGTCTCTTCCAAAGTGGTATAAACCTCTTCCTGACCTGAAGGAGAAAACAAATCAGAGTGATCCCAAGAAACACCTTATCTGCACAATGGAGACACTTGTACATATCACTTGCATTGTTCATGATCTCTGTACTCATCCATGTCCACATCCGAGTCAAAGAGGGAGTGTCCAGTGTAATCTGTGTCAGGGGTTTGGGAAATACTGTTCCCTTCCTCATCAAATGTTTCTGTCCTTGAATAAAAACTGAAGTCCTGCAAAGGGGAGTAAGTCTTGCTTGCTTCACTGCTTTCCTCAGATTCATACAGCGTGTTGTCATCATCATGGTGCCATTCTGGCCAAAATTTCCTCCTTATTCTTTCACAATACATAGCAAGGTTAATCAGTTCACCTGCAACACAACACGACAGACTTCAGTAAATATATCCAGTCAAAAATGCCCTAACTCATCTGATGATGCAAAAACACATTAGCTGTGTTTGGAAACAACTGTGTAGGGCCTTTCCAAAGGAGTTTCAAAATTCCAAAATGCCATCAACCGTCTTAGCAGCTCTGTTTTTAACTTTAATGTGACCACATATAACAAGAAGGATTACACAGGAATAAACACAAATGCATGTTCACACAAACAGGAAAGTAAGTATCACAAATTCAACCTCTACAAGAAGAAATCAAGGCAAGACACTAATACTGTAAGGTTTTTGTAGTAGAACTCTTTGCTTAATTGCAAACACCTGGTCCCTAAATACAGAATTTGATCTTGTAGATGGGCACAGCATGCTTATTAAAAACAGTGAATGTGGGGTTTTCACCACCAGATGGCAGCGTTGTCTGCAACAGAAATTCACATTTAATATGGCCACTGGCTCACTCCTACTGCTCCCAGCCTTAGTATCTTATGCCTTGTTTATAAATACATAAATGCTTACAGAATAAATTTAAAAAAACTCAAATAAGAAAGAAATACCAGCGTATTAAAGAGGAGCTGCATGTAAACCCTGTACTCCTGACGGCATAAGTAGAGAATCAACAACAATGGGTACTTCTATCAGAGACAAACTAATTGAACAAGCACAGTAATCCTTCTAGACAGCCATGAGCCCTTCAGAATTTTGCCCGTGATGCCCCACACATCAAGGGGAAGAAATGCATAGCCAATATTTATATCCTCATCTCAAGTGCTCATTATCTGAGGAAAAGAGTTAAGTCTGTGCCTCTTAATCGCAGGCTTAGCAGAGCTCTCTTGCACAGAGTAGGTTTACAGGCCAGATTCATTCCTTTTACACTATTTTACAACCTCTTCCTCCTTAGCTCTTCCCATTTTTCATGCTGTGTGGTTTTACTATGAAAAGGGATGCAAAGATACCTTAACATTTATATCACCCCACAAAAAAGAACCAAACAAAAAACAACCCTCTGTGGACAGGAGGGGTATGGTGGTTTCCAATTCAGGCAAAAGCGAAGTGACTCGAAAGCCAAGATGTATTTCTTCCTTGTCTGACATCTTCAAGAGCAGCAAAGGCTGTAATTTCAGTGAGACAATAGCACTTGCAATTCTACTATCAAGGAACATACTCAGTGCAGCAGAATTTGGTTAATGGCTGTTCTGTTTTCTCATACTTTACCCAACATTCACTCCTTAGAGGCTTTAAGGCTTTGCCATGTTGAACAGGAAAAAGATCAAGTACAGAAATAGAAACAATTACTGTGTAGAACATTAAAGAGAAAACAACGTTACAGGATACAAATGCTATATCAAAGGCAAGAACCATCTGCTGAAGTACTGCAGTCTTCAAAATGGCCTTCCAAGGTACTTCACGTTTAAAAGTGGAAAATGCCACCAAGAGCTTTTAATCAGAAATCACTTAAGCTTTCTTACCTTTGATTAGTCTCTCTGGTCGAGTCCCTGGTAATGTCCACATTGCCTGTGCCAGATGTCCAAAGACAGTGGCATCAACAGTGGAAACAGTTGATCCCATGATGTACTTCTTGTCACCTGTAAATACAACAGCAAATATTTATTGACTGGATGTCACTTCTCCCCACAACAAAAAAAAAAAATAAAATCACAGTTCCACCTTTAGCATATTTATTTTACTGAAATAATTTCAATGAAAAGGTTCACTTGTTCAAAGACAGGGATTCCAAAGCTGTTTCTAGCGTTCAGTAGGTGAAACCCATTACTGCAGCTTCCCCTGTGCTCAAGATTTCTATAACCAGGCCAGTTACAGAGCCACCACTGGCCAAGGAACCTCCTGTGCTCCTCACAGCTGGCAGCACTCACACACTGTACCCATTCTGCTGCATTTAAAATCTGCTCTGCAGCTACAAGATGCCTGAAAACACCATTTTTGCCTTGGTGCAAACCCAAAACTGCTCAACCACAATTCAAAATCATTAACTTGCTGTAAAAAGCTCCATGCAGATCCAGGTTCAATTTACTCATCTGATCAGCTGGAAAAAGAAAGTCACACCCAAAGTCCTCCTCTCTCCCTATTTGTTCAGAATGAAATGGATGTACCATTTGCAGTGACTGCTCAGAAATAACCTGCATCTCCAGGGAGAGGACAAAGCCATAAGCAGGAGTGGACAGGTCCTGTCACACACCACCCCTGCAGTGCCCTCACCCCCACTGACCTTGACAGGTAGAAGTCAAACAGAGGTTATGTCAGGCATGCAGCACTAAGTGAAACAGCAGCATTTGGGCATGGTGCAGGGACATGTCTGCTCCTCACAGCAGTTCTGCTTACCTCTCTGGGCACCCCAATGCCATGATGGTCCTAAAAGGCCACCACAGCGAAAACAGACAGGTAACTAACTAAGACAGAGAAGAAAATACATGTTTCAAAGCCATTGTTTGCAACAAAATATCCACTGGTTAGACTTGCTTCCCCATCACAGGCAAGAGACCTGGAACAAAGACTATACACAGAGCACAGAGTGAAACATGAAGGATCGCGGAGGTCAGGTTAGCTGGTTGCACTGCTCCTTCCTCGGCCCAAAGCGCTATAAACTCTGTGAAATATGGTACATAATTGAATTCTCAAAATCCAGTTATCCCATCTCCCCAGGACATTCTTCTGAGCTGCCTGTAATTCAGCAGGTTATTCAATGTTAGGTTTATTGAGCAAGTCCAGAGGAACTGTCCAGTGTAAACTGCATCAAATTCCAGCGTACAGTTCAAGGCATGCTGCCAATCCCCTGCACAAGAGCACAGCAAAACAGTGCTCAGGAACAGCCAGTAACAATAACCTTCTCTGGCCTGTCAGATGTCATTTGAACAGGCAGTTAACTCTCTCCAGCTCTTCCACAGTTCCATCAATTTATTGTTTGTAAACTCTGTACAGAGTAAATATTGTGTCTTTTCGGTATTTATGTGACACTTAAGCACTCATCAATCTCAAACATAGCTCAAAAATTGGTCCCTAAACCACAGTTATATGCCAGCACCAGGAATTTAGCACCATACAACTGGGTCTTGAGATTCAATCCATAGTGATGTGCTGGGAAGAAATACTGTCATTTCCATCTTGCTACAACTAAAAGCAGGCTCTGAGTGAGGGCTAAACCATCCCACCCTCTGGTTGCCCAGGCACAACACCCCACACCTGCAGGTGCACAGAAACAAAGCACAAGAAGAGAAAATAAAAACTGTGGGATAAATCTGGTTTTAAGTCATGCTGCACCACGAAATATAGATTTTTTTCACATTTTCTTCCACCATTTCCAATCTGTTCTCAAAACTTCCAGTGCAACTTTAGTCCAGAAGACTTTCTGATAGACCAGATATCTCTGAGTCTGTTTTGAGGCAAGATTATACATCCAGGCTACCATAGCACTAATCATCTCAAACACCTCTCTGCATCCCCTGGCTAATCCAACAGAAATGAAATCATCTGGTCACACTGGACTTGGATCAACTTTGTACTTCCCAGGAATTTCAGAGTACACAACTCCACTGTTTATAAATGCATGCCACCAGAGGATTCAAAAGCAGCTACTTCAACAGTGGGTCAAGAAACCCCAGCCAGAAGCAGGTCTGTGGGACACAGGCCTGCTCCCATCCAGAGAGGCAGGTACAGCACTTGCAGGCTGCTACAGGGCACTTAACTACCTTTAGAGGCTCAGTTCCAGGTTAGTCTGATCTCCCGAGTTTTCAGCTCTAAGCACCCCTGCCCTCGCCAAAGCATCAAATGTTTTTCAAAATCCACTTCAGGAAGTTGCTGGCCTACAACTCCCTGCTCAAAATCCCCATCTACCAAAGAACCTGAGAGGCAGACAGCTGAGAGGGCACCAAAAGATTTATGGTCACACACTTGCCTCTTCTAAACAATTACCAAATGTGTATTTTTATATATTGCTAATTCATGTGCTCATTCCCACACTTTCTTACACTATTACCAGGCAGTAGGAAACTGCTACAATACAAGGAAATTACATTTGTGGTTTAAAGACTGCAGGACAGAGAGAAAGGTGATACCAATGGGACAGGCTGATCCATCACAGTGGGATTAGTTCCAATTTCCATGTTTATAAGATCTGGAGGAGTCTGTCAGGGAAATGGGTATAAAAATTATTCTCAGAAATAAAAATAAAGAAAAAATAAGCACCAAATATGTGATTGGGAGTGTTAAAATTAATGTCATAGGAACTGGCAGCTACAAAGTTATCATTCTCTGGAAGCAGCTCTTAGAATTCAAAGTTATTGTTATTCCCATGTGAATGGTCCCTGTTAAAAAAGGGGAGCATTAATCAGATATTCCTGAAGGCTGACAGCTACAGTTTGGTATGTGCAGCTATTCTGCACCATAGGCATCGTTTTTAAGCTCTTAAGATAACAGTCAAAATTCCAACTACCTTCTCTTCTGGGAAAACACTCACAGAGATTGTGCAGGCAGTAAGCTGACTGACTGCCTTCTCCTTCTCCCTTTGAAACAGGGGAGCCTCTAGTCAGGCTGGAAGTCTTCATTCCACCTCTTGTCCCCATTCCAGGATACCACCTGGAGGCCACACTTACTAGACCCAACCATAAACAGGGGGCTGGAGAAAACATGAGCATACTGATGTTAATGAAAATTAAGGCAATTACAGAAAAGTAGACAAACTCACCAACAGTAAAAAGGGAAAATATAATGATTCATGTAACTGCATACTGACTAATCTGACATCCATTTCAGAGGGGGAGATGAAAAAAATGTACAATATTCAGCTGGTAGTGTAATAAAATAACAGCAATACAGCAAATGCCCATCAAGGCTTTTTGAAGTACACAGGCACATTCTCAACAACAATCTGGAATTATGAAGAAAAACTCTGCTGGTAACATAAGTATAAAACAACTAAAAATTTGATACAGTGAAGAAATGCTTGAGGATTTTCAGTGCATTTTCCACAAAAGCCAGAGACTAATTACAGAATTTACCTTCACAGAGAGATGACCCAAGCCACCCAGGAAGGGAGAAAGAAGTAGGAAGAGTATCTGTCTGCAGGCTAGAATCGAACAAACTCATTTGAAACAAGTCCAATTTTTAACAGATTTAGACAGTGACTAACATCTGTCAGCAAAATGTGGTGGCACCTCCACCTGCTGAAATCTCATAATGAAAACTGGATGGCTTTTAGAAAGCCATCCCCAAGCCAGCAAGAAGGCACAGGCCTCAAGACAGCAGTCAAGCAGTCAGATCCACGGAGATGTCTAGATGATTAAATGATCCCTTTGAACTTGAAATCTTACAAATCTGAGTGTCAGTATGCACTCCAGAGAAATAAGCAAATCAAGACAGTTTTACAGGTACTCAGGCACACATTTTAGTTTTCTCTTGAAGGTTCTGTCTACTCTTGGCAGACAGAGATGACTTTAGCAAGACATATCCACTGCCACTCCTTTCAGCCTGACAGAGTTGTCCAGCCAGAACCAGGGGGCTTGGCTGAGCTACTAAGACATAGACTGAACTTGCTGCAGCTCCTGTCCCAACCCCACTCCTCCTTGTGATCAGCACGGAGCCACACAGTGCCAATACCAAAACTACAGCATCAGTATTCCCACAGAGGAGAGTACCTGGATCTGGCTACAGCTCTCCAGCAGGTATGACCAGATCTCCTCTTCTAAAATTAATTGCTCCCTCCCTTCCTCCCTCTCAAAGAAAAGGGACCTCTTAATCTCCAAACAACAGATTTTCTCTGAAGAGGCTTGTTTCTGTTAACAAACCAAATGCAGCATAAGAAAGTGCTGTCAAAAGAGGAGCTGTCAACAAGTCTTCCCCTTGCCCATTGTGTCCATACACCTCATGGAGTTTTTTCCCATGAGGAAATATGTTTCCCATGGGAACCTTGTTCCCAATCCAGCAACTCAACAGGTTTGTTTCAGAAAATAAAGTTATAGAAAACGCTACATCTGTGTCCACTGCAAATACCTTCCTTTCCAAAACAGCTTGGAAGTCCAGAAGCACACTTTTTCCTCCCCTTTCTCTGCAAGCATTCAGCTTCTGCCTTCTGCTGGGCTCTCCCCAGCTTGTTCCTTTCATGCATTTCACACTTGTCTCTTTAGTACATGTGCAGTGTGTCCTCCCTCTGGAGCACAGGGCAGGGAAGTATCCTCCTGTCCTGCACTCAACCACCTCTTTAAAGCAGTTGTTACAGGGAACAACACACAGGTACCCTCTCCCTTGGTTTCTTGCACAAGAGAGACATAAGCTCAAGCAAAGTGACAACCTGCACCACAGCAATTCCTCAAAATGCGAGTTTTACACAGATGCACAATATGCTTAGCTCTCAGTGGAGCAGAAGGCAAGAAGCACAGTGCAAAACAGTTTCAGTGCATATTTCAACCCGAGCCACACAACAGAAATGAGGTTAATTCTAGCTAAGTGAAGTCGACCTTAAGACTAATTGTATGGGATCCACCCAAGACAACCAAGAATCTTAAACACAGCTATTCTGACAGCAGAGAACCATCTCCTACTGGGAGCTTTGAATAAAGCTGCTGACACCAACCAAACACAGCAAAGTTCAGCTCATCAAAATAACATCTGCAAAGGGTTTTCAAATGGCAGCCTCATAACAACCTGTCAAACAGCCACAAATAAAAAACAGGAAAGGAAATACAACCAGGAAATAAAAAATGAGACACACGCACCCAGCCTCCCCAAAAAGGTACAAACAAGAGGTTTCATTTGCAGAACTAAACACTACATTTTCCTAATTTCAAATCCCTACATGCTCTTCCAAAACTGTAGGCCACGTTTTGCTCCTCTACATGCACATACTCTGTGCTCAAAGAAGGAAGCCTCTTATGCCTCTAGACACACAATTTGGCAGCAAACAGTGGGAACAGAAACGGTGTCTCTGCCAGAGCAAGGAAGGCACTAAATGACAGCCTCTAGCTTCTGCCAAAATGAGATTATTTGTGCGCGACCAAGCTGTCAGGAAGCACTGGAGGTCAATTCCACCTCTCCTGTGGAGAGAGGAACAGTGCACAGAGCACCATAACTCGCTGTACCTTACCCAGGAGGCCTGCCAGAGTCCGCATGTCCTTCTCCATCAGCGTGTACATCTCCTCCTCCGAGAAGCGCCCAATGCCATGGCCATACATTTCCCTCTTCACAATTCCTTTGGTCAGGTGGCAAAAGATCCACTTCAGCAAGTCGCTGAAGGGGCCAAAAAGCGAAACCATCTTCTGCGTCTCATGAAGATTTTCCACCCATTGGCAATAAGCTAAAGTCCTAGAAGGATGCAGAAACAAGTTATAGCAGTGTAATCCCAGAGAGCCCAACACCACCCTGCTCACACAGAGGTCAGGCAGGTGAGCACTCATTGCCCTGATGGAGAGGCAGTTTCCACAAACAGCAGACTCAGAGTGCCAGCAGAGCAAACCCACTTTACAGTACTTAGGCAAACTGCTCAGCGCTTATTCACGCATTAAATCATGACTCACTTCAGGAGAAAACAAGATTCATGTTGAAATATAAAGAAAAAGCTGCAGAATTCTGCTAAACTTGTGAAACAAAATGCAGTGCCAAACAGATTTATTAGCTAAAGAGAACTCACTGCACAGACCTGGGCAAAACAACAACAAACAGCCCCCCCAAAAAAATCAATCTTTCCCACCAACCTTTTTCCTTTCAAAAGTGCTGACACTTAGGCAAGCAGTAACTTTGCTACAACATAAATACTGAAACAGTAATTTTTCAGAAGATTTCTCCTCAGAAACTAAGAATAACATGATCTTTTAAAAATAAAATGTAAAAAATTAAGAGGGAGTGGTTATTGGGTTGGTTTTCTGCTGTACAGTTTCCTCTCTTAAAATGCTGATTTTATGAGAGACATTTCTAAAAAACTCTGTTGCCATCCATGCTTTATTAAATGGCAAATAATATTCTTTTAAGAAGTCTTTTTATAAAAGTTTGTCTCATCAGCTTAACTTTTGGTTTCCCACGAGTTTTTGTTCTTTATTAATATTATAGGAAAATAGATCTTGATTTGTTACTCCAGAAACTTATAAAAAACTTATAAAAAAGAAACATTAACTTTTTTAATGTACAACATCTTCAAAAATTACAAATAAACCAAAAAGTCTATAGAGATGAACTTTTGTCAACACGTTCAAGGGTTGTTGGAAAAATGGCTAATGACACCTCAAAGTAGGTAAGATAAACATAGGACACCTGCGGGGTCTCAGAAACACTGGGAATTGATACACATATTCCAATCCAAGCCATTCCAAGGCTTCATTGTTTTAGTTTGGAATATGACTTTAGTTTATCACTGTACATATTTCCAACTCCACATAATTTCCCTAGTCTGATATGATTCACCTAATAAAAGAAAATAAAGGAAAAAAAACACCAGTATTTCCTGGAGAACTCCTGTGACTTCTTTTGATAATGTACGTTTTATTGAACTCACATCGTCCACTGCAGTTCAATGCTTTCTGCTCTAGCTGGTTTCACTGAGGTCAGTAACAATGAGGAGTGAACAGGTTTTGCTGCAAATGTATAAACAGGAAAGAACAAAAATGCACCTGCTCTGCTGCTGATGGGTTTGACCCTCAACAGATTACTCCACAAGCTCTGGTGCTATATAATTATAACAAAAGCATCATTTCACACGCTTCAACACCACTTTTAGAATGGGGTGTTCTGCACAGTCCTGGTTTTTCAAACTTGATGGATGAACTCAAGTCATTGAGCAGGTTTCAGCAGTGCAAAGTTTTTATCAGAGACAGATTTAGGAGAGGCACCAGCAATACAGGAGGAATATGAAGCCAACAAATGCAGCATTGACTTTGTCTGGAAGATGTGGTGTGAGACTGCCCTGTTCCAGGAACAACAGTAGAACAGGATTTAAGACAAATGGAAAGAAGGCTGGCCTGAAGGCATAAGGGCACTCTATAGAGCAGAATGTTGCAGTAGTCATGTTTCACTGGCCTGGAAAAGGACAAGGTGTCTTCAGCAGGTACAGCTCTGAATAGGAAAAACTCAATGTAAACACTAGGAAATAATTGCAATACTATGAGTTGAGTAGGAAGAGACCTTAAAAATCATCTACTTCCAACTAAATGTCCACTGCAGAGACACCTACTCCATGGGCAGGGATATTCCCCATTAGATCAAGTTGCTCAGGATCCCATCCAACCTGGCCTTCGGCACTTCCAGGGATAGGGCATCCACAATTTTCTGGGCAGCCTGTGCCTTACCACCCTTCAAGTAAAGAGCTTATTTCCAACATCTAATTTACATCTCTTCTCTTTTAGTTTAAAACTGTTCTCCCTTATCCTATCATTATCTACCCATGTAAGAAATCATTCTCCCTCTTTTTTATAAGCCTTGTTTAAGTACTGGAAGGCCACAACAAGTTGTCCCTGGAGCCTTCTGCTCTCGATGCTGAACAACCTCAGCTCTCTCAGCTGTCTTCACAGGAGAGGTGCTCCAGTCCTCTGATCATCTTTGTGGTTTCCTCTGGATCTGCTCTAACAGGTCCAGATTTTTCTTTTGCTGTGGACTCCAGAGCTGGAAACAGGTGGGGTCTCACAAAGAAAGAGTAGAAGAGGAGAATCACCTCCCTTGCTTTCTCTTGATGCAGTCCAGGATGTCATCTCACACTGTCAGCTCATGTCCAGTTTTTTCATCCACCAGAGCCCCCAAGTCCTTCTCCACAGTGCTGCTCTGAACAAGTTTTTCTCCTAATCTGTAAGTTATTATTCATTATTTGAATAAGTTAGGAAGAACTTGGCTCTCTGAAAGCACTGCTCTCTATCCCAGGATGGACTTGCTTCATGTGGCAACTCTGCATCACAATTTAGTTGCTTTAGGACAACAGGCCTGGCCTCGAGAAGGGTAATAAGAAAAGTAAGTCAAAACAAAACAGAAAAAGAACACAGGAACTCCACTGCAGCATTTTTTAAGTCATCCCAGTTGCACAAGATTAAACCTGGCCCTATGGACTTGCCATCATTATTGCTCACTCCAACCACACCAGTGAGCTAGTATTGCACCAAGAGTCATCAACCATGTCCAAAATTGTTTTTATTTCATAAAACAGAATGAACAAGGTTTCCCACAAAGCTAATTGGCCCATACTTTAATGCAAAAATGCATTTCCCCAGAGCTCACTTATTTGCCCTGGGAGAGACGGTCTTTGGGTCTGGAAGAGGCAAAAATCAGATCAGGTGTTTAATGACCTGGACTGCAACAGAGAACTACAGAGGATTTAGGTAATCCTGCTTAGGCTAAACTGCCATGCACAAATCTTAAGACATCTGCTTGTAACAATTCTGCTCATTCAAAGGGACATGTCCCAAATCTCCAATTTACATGGCCAATGAAGGCAGCTAAATAGACAATCACAGAATTTACTTCCAAAATGATACGGTTCTGAGTAGACGAAACAAGGAAAAAAGTAAGCTCCAATTCAGGAAGAGTTAAAAACACTTTTAAAACTGGCTTTACAAGCACATTATTAAAAATTATATTCAAAGGTTCATTAATTTGCGTTTTCTACCAAAATAGCATTTTATTTTGCATTTAATTCCACCCATCACTCATCTCTTCAGACTGCATTAGTGGAATATTATCAATATTACAAAGGGTTATAAAATGCCAGAAATTGGGTAGTCTACACAATCTACTTCAGGACAGCATAACTTTACATTTTACACTGGAGTAAGTATTTATGGGATGACATAATTATTTTAAATATTGGCCTGTGCAGAACATTTTGGGAAACATTACCATTCACATTTGTGCCAGCACATCTGTACAAATCTAAGAGTATAAATAAAACAATAATGCATTAAAGAGCGATGCTGTGGGGGTAAAGTAAATCCGAAGTCTAAATGTAACAGCAGATTTGGCCTCAATACATAAATCAGGCGAGGAGATGAAGAAAATGACTCATCAACAGCAGCTTGCCTGATTATCCTAAAACTGCCTGAACTTCAAGGCAAGGGGAAGGCATTTACAAGCAAGTGAACAGGAAGTTATTTTTCCTATCTGAATCTGTGCAGACCAGAATTTTTTGATATACAAAAGTATTATAACAAATTCATTCCACAATCAGCTGTGGAAACCTCACCAACTGTGCAACTTCTCAGAGCAACTGGCTTTTAAGCCACCAGCAGCATTCAAGCTTCATCACTGTTAGCAGTGGGAGAGACGCTGCTCTTAAAACTGGCTTAATATATTTACACATATTTAAATTATAAAAATATTTGATGTTAAATACGTGGCAAGCCTCAATACTGACCAAAGTCAGAGTCATCCATATTCTCACATCATGTTATTCTGGTACTTCAAGCATTCATCACATATGATGCTTGCTTCTTAAAAGACAAAGCTAGAAATAAGTCAAATGTATTTGCAAGTGTATATCTATCTATCTATCTATCTATGTGTATATATATATATACACACACACATTTATAAATCACTACAGTTTTGTTTGACAATACAGCTGACCAAATCTAATGGGCTAGTCTGCTTAAGCCAAATATTCAAGGCTTTATGTTCTCACTAAGCACATTAATATCACTGACGTAAGATCCATCTCCTGAGATCGAAGTGACAGAAAGCATCTCACAGTGACTGCTAGCCCTACAGGCACCCAGGAGCTGCCTGGCCTGAATCCCAGCAGTACTGTCAAGCTCTGGAAGAGAGAATTAGACCTCTATTAACCAGAGGTCCAATCCCAGAAATGTGCTGCAGCTACACCAAAAACCCAATGCATTCCCCAAAGGTGGCTCTGGGTGCTCCACTGGTTTCTGGGGGCCCACAGGTCACTGCAGGCAGTGGAGGTGACTCAGAGCAAGCCTACAGCAAATGACAGATCTGCATTGGATCCAGGACCTGGGGAGAGAGTCACAAAATTATTAAATTATTCAAGTTCCATCTCTTCACTGCTGGCTTGCTTCAACACCCCTTCAGCTTAGAGGACTCCTTTTTTTTTTTCTTTTTTTTTTTTTTTTGCCAACTTAACCTAGCAAAAGCCTAATGGCTTACTGCATTCTCCAGGGACTGGAGCTCCAGCACCAGCTCCAAATAAGTTTTGTGCATCTCAGAGATAAGGTGTAACCCCAGCATGGAAACAGGCAGGCTCACTTGTTGTCTTTCTGCCTGAACCCTGCCAGGTGCCATAACCCAGGGCAGAGAGAAGACGTCCAGAGGCTGAGGTTCTCAACAGCTCCACACTGCTCTCAACTCCAGCCAGAGCAGTCGCTTCCACATGTAAGAGGCATTAACTGCTGAAGATGAGTCACTATCTTAGCAAAACTAAACATTTCTGGAGGAAATGCTGAGCATTCACCAGGATTAGCTCCACCCAGATACAGCACACCACAGGATGCACTTTTCTTCTTTGTCTGATAAATGTACACTGTAATACTACAGCATTACTTATTTATGATGAAGCTACTTTGCATGCTGCTGGCAATGAAATAGTAGGAATCACATTATGTATCACTGCTTTGGAGGCTTGGTTTTATATACCTTATTCTGCAGAAAGGCAATCACTGTTTCAAATTCTTCACCATGGGACATGAGGACACCAAGAAAAAGCCCTAAGCTTCTAGTGGGAAGTGGGAAGGCTCAGGGGCAGATGTGAAGGGATCCCACAACCACAGAGAAATACAGAGGAGAAATATGGTCCTACACAGTGAAAACCTGACTTTACTTTGGCGTAAGTGCAGGATGGTCAAAGTTATTATCCAAGAATTACAGCAGTACAACTGCAACACCTCATGGCTCAGGCTTTGCCTGAGACAAAGAATCTGCAAGGTATAACCTCACCAACATATCAAGCTTCTGGTACAGCCAGAGGGTCGTACAGTAAGACTTACAGTTGGAATCTTTACTGCATTGCAGCAAAAATATATGCCTTGGAGCAACTGAGATGTGTGACTACACAAGAAAGGCAACAGGGATACACAGCCAGGCATGCACATCTCTGTTCTTGATGTAACTTTGTCCACATGTTTTAATGCCCTCTCTCTGGGTCAGTGCTGAAGTTGCAGTACCTGTCTTCCACACTTGCCTGTGTCACGTCCAGCAGTGCCCAGCAGCTCCAGGGAGCCTGGATGGACAGACAACAGCTTCACAGAGGAGAGCACTTTCTAACTGAGACACAACACCAGTATAAGCCTGCCATCAATAATGATACATTTAGCACAGTTAAATCTATGAACCACAAAACAACTAACACCAAGGCAAGGAGATGAAGCATTAGGAGACTAAAAGGCTTCATCCTCCTTTTGGAAGCTGTAATAACTGAGGGTGGAAAAACGAACCAAAAAAAAGTTAATTTACAGGCTGCCTGTATCATGTTTGGGAGGCTATGACACTGCAGATGGGTATAATTGGTGAAGGCCACACTTCTTGGAAGGCAGAGATTTAATTTCTAAACCAAATCACTGCAATCTGCTAATTACCGAGTGCTAAAATTGTCCTAAGGAGACGCTAAAAGTTATTTGAAGAACTATACGTACACATATTGCTGCTGACCTTCGATCAAAAGGTGAAAGAAAAAGCAGGTAAGTGCATTCAACTTAAAAGTCACATATTGTTCTGAAGAAAAAACATGCAACATAAATGCAAAACTTAATGTAGCAAGGACTTAAATGCTTAAATGAAAGTAAACTATTGGGAGAAAGCCTCGTGCCTGGTAAGGCAGCAAATGCAGCACACAAGATGCATGTCCACCTGATGCCTCTATGCCTAAACTGGAAAGGGCACTTAAAAAGGACTGAAATGTAAAGCACAGAGGAAATCACAGGTATTATTTTTAAAGGTGTCAGTAAGATACACAAAGTACCAGAAAGGTTCTATTTTCCATTCATACACATACTTCAGCTTCTCAGGACACTGTGACTAATACTGTACACTACCAATAGGCAGTATTGTCAACAATACATATCAGTATTATGGGAAAGGCAATGATCCGTACTGCAATCACTCACACATAATTAAAACCTGTAGAAGTAAGAAAACAATATTCTGGATTCACCACAAATACTGGATTCATTCCTCTACACCCCACAAACCACAAATATATTCAGCCACCTTGATCTTTTGGTCTTTATTAACAAGGCTGCTCCTATACAGAAGTCACATAGACAGAGGAACATCCCAGTGCTGTTTCTTGTACAAAGCTGCAGCCAAAGGGCCTGACTTTAACTTGCTTACACAGCACAACCTTTCAAGAGAATTATCCTTGGCTCATACCACCACACACATAAAGGAGCAGCAGTTTCCTAGGATGAAGTAAATAATCCGGTACCTGGCATTACTGCAAGAGGAAAGAAGCATTCATGTCCTGTGAGGCCCAAGCTCAGGGACACACTGACAACACAAGAGCACAGCCAGCTTTGCCATGCAAGCTTACCAGTACAGGTGCTCCTCCACCATTTTGGTCACAGCTCTGGAAACAGCTCTTTCATGTGGACCAAGGTGTTTATTTAAATTCACTCCAAGTTTCTCTTCCAAGAAGTCAATAATGAACTCAGTGCCAGATACTTTCTTGTGATTGTATTCAATCCAAGGCATTTTCCCTTGAGGGGAAAGTTTTCCATCAAAATAGTTCTAAGGGAAAAAAATCAAGTAAACAAACAAATATACAGACAAGAAAAACCCTTCAGGTTCTGTTTTAATGAGAATAAATATTTTTAAATAGTTTTCTGTGTTTTTAAAAAAACAAATCAACAAATCCAACAAATCTTTTTTTTTTAATTAGTACTCTAGAGTAGCAGTGGTTATTCAATCAGAGCAGCAGCTTTATCCCATGTGACAATTCAGATAAGATTATTTCCAGGCCCTGCAAGGTGTTCCATACTTTTACACTGAATGCCATGTGATATAATAATTTAAATTATATTATCCATTATTTAAATATCTGAGTTATTTAAGGGTTGGAGACACTCAGATCTCCCAGAAGATTGGGCCCATTATTCTAAACAAGTTTTAAATCACAGGACTCACAAATAAATTCATGTTAAAAGTACCTTAAAAAAAACCAATTCACTACCCAACTCAGACGGCTGCATTACCTCCAAGGACAAAACACAAACAATCATAAGCATATATGAAAGGCATATCATTCCCTCCTGAGCAAAAGGGAAATCTGCTTTCTGCAACTTCAAAACTTACAAATCTCAGACATCTACACACATACTTGCTACAACTGGGTCTCCCAAGAGCCCAGCACAGTAGAGCACAGCACTACTGCACTGCTGAAACACTGCTATATCTGCTCAGCATAGCACTCACACAGAAGCAGCAACGTGCTTTTCCCATGACAAGGTGAAACAGAGATTAGAGAATTCCCATCTCATATAACAAGATGAGAGGAAGTGTTGGCTACCAAAACATGATCAGACATTTGTCTTCAATTTTCTTACTCCTGAAGGCAGAGACACAAGGTGCAACCTTTTTCCTTTCTTGTGATTCCCATCCTCATTACTTAGTGAATGAAAACTCCTAGCACAAAAAGCTGAACAGTAAAGGCTCTGCACTCAAATCTCTGGCAGTCACCCCAAGCATTTCAGGACCTAGCTCCGAATTGCTGGAGGTTTAGGGTTTGCAGTTCTGGATTGATCTGTTTGGGTCTCAAGTATTTACCCTTCCTGAATCCACTTAAGATGGATTAAGGTGCTCTGGCAGCAAGGAGCATACACCAGAACACGCCTCCTGCTCAGTCTGAGAGTGCCAGCATCCTGGCTGCCATTCCAAATGCAGATGTGCAATGCACTAGCATCATGCAGCCATTCCCAAAGGCTTTTCCCTTCCGTATGAAAACAAACGGGTAACACTCCTGGGAAACAATCTGGCTGTAGCCTCTTCCAGGGTTTATGCCCAAACAAACAGCAGGGCAGGGACACTGGATGATATCATGTCTCACCCACTGCAACCCCTGTGTGGGTGAATAAAGCACCTGAATCCCTCCCACCCGCACATGTGGGTGACATGGGGGCCAATTCCACAGCACAAGCTCTAAAACCACTAAACATCTGAAACTGAAAGAAGAGCACTGCCCTGCCCTTCCACCTTCCAAGACCTCTCCTTCATCAAAAATGGTCTTTCAGCACTGAAACTGAATGATACATTTCTATAATTTTTCATTATGACTTTACTACAGAAGCACAAGGTTTTCCTGGAACTACACAGCATGTTTAGAAGACTCTGAGCATCGATGGCTTAATCTTCATTAAGCCCCTCCATTAAGATATTTCTCTTCTTGTGCACAAATACCGGTGGTTTGCAGAAGCTACTGGACTTGAAGATGCGTTTATTACATCTTGCAATTACTGCAATCCATACCATTTGCAACCCAGAAAAAAGAAACTTGTTATTAATGAGCTGCATATTTCTTCAAGCACATATACCTAATACATAGAAATACATTGCCTAAAAAGATTTTCGTGTTTCATTACATACAGTTTATCAAACAAAATAGGAAATATCTTTCAGTGACCTGAGAAAACCTTAGTCTCTTGAGAAATCTGTTAATACTGTTCTTGTACCCACTGTTCTCGAACAGACATTTTTAGGCTTGAAACCTCTGCATCCTTATGGCTGATACTAATTGCTATCAAATATTTATCATTTTTCCACTTCAAAACCGTTATAGCTGCTAAGCAGGGAAAAGCTATGGTATTATTAAAAACCAAAAGCAAACCAAAAGAATATCCCTTTTCATTCACAGTACATTAAGTGCCTGCAGAGCAACAATTAACAACAGCACTACAGAACCTCCTTTGTAAGGAATTTATAAAAAAGAATGGTGCAAGGTATTTCTAGGGTAATTTTACAGTACTATGCGCGAAGAAATTAGATTTCACATTTTCAATTACTCCTGTTTATGATTTTATATTCACTCATGTCTTCTCCTAAGGAGGCTGCCATTTCCACAGACCTGGCATGAAAACAGCACATTCCTGCTGTGCTAATTATTTATCAGATTACATAAAGGCTCAGCTCTTTATATTCTTGAGGAAATCAAGGAATACCCAAAAGATCTTAATGAGCATACAGATGGGGCTCTTTCAAAGCAAGCTTTACCAAGAAAAGCATCCAATATTCTGAAAACCCAGCTAGGGATTATGACAGCCCAGCTGGGGTGGGGCTGCCCAAATAATTTTTCATGGAAACTTGCACATACAGAGGCAGATTCAAGAAAACATAAGTACATGATAATAGCACATGTGTTGGGAGAAATTCAGGTGAGAGTAAGGTAGGAATATGTCACTCTGCTCCAACTCTCACGTGCCATTAAAGCACATTGTATAACACAAAGCACAATACTCAGCAATTTGATGCACTACAATAAACACAAGGAATCAAAAGTGTAAAAGGCAGTCTGAGCATCTCACTGTCTTCACTCTATTTCATGACCCTCCCTTTGAAGCAGTCCCTCCTCAGCAAGGTGATGACCACAGCAGGTCTCCTGGGATGAGCACCAGCCACCACCTGCAGCACTTCTCCACCATGGCCCCTGACAGTGTTCAGGGAAGCAAGGTGTTTCCTTCTGCATCCTCCTGTACACTCCTACACACCCACCCTGCTGCCTGCCAGGCAGACATCGATGCCTCTCTCACCTACAGCATCCTAAGGGTAAATCACGAGGGAACAGAATAAAAGTCTATAGGCACAGTATAAGAAACTCCAGCCAAGAACAGTGCCCCCTTCAGCTCCCCTCCCACTCAATCCCACAGAAGCATCCATACTTTCCTCCACATGCCAGAGCCCAATGCAGCACCATACTCTTAACACAAGGACAGAAACAGCATCTGCTTCTTCCTGAAAAAAAGAGCTGTCTCCTCAGCTCATAAGCTCAGCTCCACCAAACTTACCTCTAAAACCCTTCAGAGGGTTGGCAGCCCCACAAACACCTTGAGCCCATGTAAGCCAGCATGGCTAAAAGCACCAACCTGGTGTTCCCAGCACCTGCAGGACTCATTCCTGCTCCTGCAAAATGGCACACAGAGCATGTGGGGAACCAAGCTGAGATAAAACCAAATAAACTAAAACGATATGGCTCTAGCTAGGCCAGCTCTAATCAGCCTAAGCTGCCACAGAAAAGCATGTGCAGGAAGGGACAAAAAGAAGCAGCTGAAGGTAAGAATATTGCTTTTGATGGTCTTGTCAGTTTAGTGTACTCACAGCTATTGAGTAGGGATAAAGAGACATGCAACACCAAAAAGCAATGCTGACCTTCAGCACAAAATAAAAAAGAGGGAAGGATAACCCTCTGGAAATTCGTCTCTCCAAAAAGCTGTGTGATTTCAGACCAGCATGAACTCTCTAAAATACTCCATCCTGAATCACACAAATGCTGCGTTATCTTTCAGAAGTGGCCGTGTCCTGTCATAACCATCTTTAATAATGCAGCTTTCTTTAGCTGCTCTCCACCAGAGCAAACCTGACCACCACAAACCTTTGAACTGCATCAGCTGCCATTAGAAAGAAAACAGATCTCACCAAGAGAGTCATCCCCTCAAACGTGCAATTTCTACTCAAATTATTTTGAGAAAAGCAATGTGCACAAAGTCCTCCAGCTCCAAGGACATGTTCAAGCTTCAAAATCTGGCAAGTTCTGTAAACCTAAATGAAGAAAATACATCCCACAGGATGGATGTCTTCCTCTTTAGTACTCACAATATCTGATTCAAGTACCACTAACATTAAACTCAGGCTTTTAAAGAATTAAGCAAAATGTACTGATTAGACTCTCTTCCAATGCAAAGAAGTTTAGCCACATAGGAAGCTAAATACCAGTGGTAAATGTGTTAAAAAAAAAAGTTGTTGGTTTGGTTTTCCAGCAACTAGGGTTGGTTTTCCACTCTACAACATTTGACTTATACAAAACATTCTGCCTAACACCTTGGTAGGGAGTTAAATTCCAAACTTACATTACTTAGGAAAAAACAGAGGGAGAAGAAAAAAGAGGAAAAAAAATCAGACATTTCTTCTACCTAAGATCTTAGTTATATATATCATCACTATTTTATCACCTTAAAGGTATTCAGTGCTTAACACACACAAAAAAAAGAAAACCATGCCATGTCTCAAAGAGCCTGTGTGCTGTGCATCTTGCCAACACCACAAGAAGATGTTTGCCACACTTGTAAGGTCCCAACTTGACCTCAATGCTACCAGGCAAGACCATGAGACTCAAGTGTCCGCTCTCAAAGCTTTCATTTGCCAGTGTAGCTCAGGCTTCATTCCCTGCAGGAAGATGACATGGGATGCACCCAACCACAATTAAGGAGCAGTATTCATGACCTCTAAAAGCAATCCTGTCTCATTTTACTGGGGAGGAAGCATCAGTCATAGGAGGTGAAGCAAAAGGTAAGCACTTCTTCCCAGGAGAGCTACAGAGATGAGGCCTCCAGAAAAACAAGAACCTGGAGCTGTCTAATCTTGATGCCTTTAGCAGGGTGAAATTCAAGAAACAAATAGTGTTCTGCTTTAGTTTTGGGGTGTTATTTAGTATTATATAAACTCCAGACTGTTCTCCCACTTCAGCATTTCCAACTAAGTTAACTTTTAAGATTGATTTAGCTTTACCAGTTAAATCTACAGCTATTACAGATAATCTTATTCAAGTCATATTTTTAAAGGTTATACACCAAATTTAACTGGAGCCATAGAAGTGTTGGCATACCCACCTAGCTGTAGGTGTATGTTTACATCTCCCGGGGTGAGACAGACTGGGGGGAGGAGAGGCAGGATGCCTATGTGCCATTTCACGCAATTTACAGAGAGCTGTAAGGCAAAGGCAAACTGCACGATGTACCTGGTAGGGCAAATCAGCCATCCTCAAGTACGTTTCCATTTTCAGGCAGAACGGGGATAAACTCGGAACGCCATTCCTAGGCCTTGAAAACTGATGCAGTATGATAGCATCTTTCGAATCGAGCTCTTCCTCTTTCCTGTCAAAAAACCCCAGAATTTAAAAGAAAAAAAAACAAAACGAACAAAAAGCAACGTACAGGTGCACGATACATCAGTACATTAAATAGACAAAGGAGAATCCCCGGCCCTGGCAGCACACCCGTCAGCCCTTAAGGGGCTGCTGCGGGTTTTGGCTGCCCGGGTCCGGAGGCAGCGAGAGGGCCCAGCCTGGGCCACCTGTGGGGGCGAGCGCAGGGCTCGCCGCGGAGCCGCCTCCTGCGCTGCTGCAAAGGGCGAATGGGGGAAAACGGGAGAAAGGGGGGGAAAGGTGGGAAGAGGGGGAAAAGAAGGGTAAATGGCAAAAGCACGGTGAAGGAGACACCCCAACCCGCCGGCCCTCGCCAACCTGCCCCCGCAGGTGTAAGCGGCTCCGAGCGCCCTTGGCCGGCAGCGCCGCAGCCCCGCAGCCTCACCGTATGGCCAGCAGCTCGTGGAGCAGGTACGCGGCGGCGGCCAGCAGCGCTCCGCCCGTCAGGTACAGCGTCTTCTTCCACCAGGAGTCGGAGCCCAGCGCCGCCATGGTGCCGCCGCCGCCCGACAGCGGGAAGGCGACGATCTCGCCCCCATAGAAGGCGGGCGGCGGCTCCTCGGGCCCCGCGCACCAGCCCAGCGACAGGCTGCGGTTGCGGCTCAGGTCCGCCACGCAGGAGCGCGGCGCCGCCAGGCCCACCCCCCACAGCATCCTGCGCCCGGCACCTGCATCCCCCGCCGCGGAGCCGCCGAGCCCCCTGCCCTGCCCTGCCCTGCCCAGCCCGGTGCTGCCGGGCCCAGCCCGGCCCCGCGGCGGGGAAGGGCCGCGCCGCGCTGGGCGGCTCCGGCGGCTCCCTCGGCCGGCGCTGCGCGGCTGCGCGACCGAGCTGGGAAGGGAGGGATGGGGAGGAGAAGGAGGGGATGGGGGGACGGGGCCGGGTGTGTCCTGCCCTGCCCTTGCGGAGTCCCCTGGGCCCGGCAGCCGCTGTCCGGGATTGAGGGCAGGAGCCGGCGCGTCACGCTCGGGGGTTGGGTGTGAGCCTGCCCTGTTAAAATGCCCGCGGTCCGAGCATCGCCGCGCTGCTCCTGCAGGAAGAGTAGCGGCGTATTCACCAGGTATTGGGGACAAAAAAAAGCCACTCACCGCCCCCGCCCCCCGGTGCCTGGCCGCAGCTGAGCATTTCCACACTGTGCCTGTCAACACGGCGGCGATTTTCTTCTTATTTTTCACTTCGACTGAAGAAAACATCTCTGTGAGCAGAAAGGGAAGCAAAATGGCTTCAAAGCAAACCCCTTGGCCCACAAGGTGATGAGATTTTACTGGCACTGAGGGTCCCGGCATTCCGTGGCCTCCGGCCTCCCTGCTGCAGTAGGATCTTCGGGTAGCCCGTGATGGCATGAGCACGACTTCACCTCCATTCTACCAAATGTCCTCGGCTCTGCATATCACACCAACCCCAAAACAGTGCTCTTTGTTTTTTGAGTAATACCACTGCCTAAATAGTCCTTTGTCAAATGCTGTGGTGTGTACATAGCTGCTCCAAAATGCCACAAGTTGGATATTTTATTATGCCATCGGGCAAGAGAAATGATCTCATCCTTAACACAAATGGACCAACTTTCAGTGTCCAGGAGAGATGGATGAAATCTGTGACCAGGACTTTGATGCTTTACCTCAGGATATGGGACAGATGGAACAAGGAGGCGAATGAGGAAGAGGAGGTCCCTGAGCAAACTCATGAAGTGCAGATCCATATAGTGACTTCTCCTAGTGCCAGTAGTGGCCAGTTTGCATTTAATATTGTTATGCAATATCAGTGAGAGCAACTTGAAGCTGTCAGGAGAGGTTTAGGTTGGATGTTAGGGAAAGGTTCTTCACTCAGAGGATGTTTGGACACTTGGAATAGGCATCCCAGGGAAGTGGTCACAGCACAAAGCCTAACAGAGTCCAGGAAGTTCTCAGGTGTGATTCTTGAAGTTGTCCTGTGCAGGGTCAGGAACTGGACTTCTGTGACCCTTGTGGTCCTTTCCACCTCAGGACATTCTATGATTCTGTGGTTCCATGAGCTGTCTCTGCCTCCTGCCTGCACTCGCCAGGGAAGGCTGCTGTGCTCTGCAACTTTCCTGCAGTAGCTTCTTGTAGCATTTTGTTTTGTACTTCACTTTTAGCTGGTTGTTTACACATATTCAGTAGCCACAGGCTGCCATGCAAGTATGTGTTTGATACTGTGCTGATATTCCGCTCTAAGGAGTCAATGGGATCAGAGAGGTCACAGTAAATCTCATTCCACATACGGGTTGTGCCCTCCAAAATGTGCTGCACTTCTTTGCACTCATCCTTAGCAAGGTGCTGGCTAAGCAGCTTCTGCACAGCTTTTGGGCCATCCCACATGACAGGTGATTCACAGGTAATGAAACAAGAGTGGAAAGTGAAAGCAGCAGCCTTTTCATGCCACAGCTGATCGTTTGCAGCATTTGGTTTTGTTAAATTCTTAGGACAGGGCAATGAAGAGACAAAGAAGAAAAGTGCTTTTCTCTGCTGCAGCACCTGTAAATCTCAGGCTGAAGATTTGTTTCAAGTGGCAGACAGCCTAATAAATCTGGACTGTCACAGCCTGGTAGCTGGTCTCAGCTTTTGTTCCTGCATGGGAATTTCTTGCTGTGTTACTGATAAGAGGGATCCAGTTACAGATGGGATCTAAGTTTCTGTGAGGGCAGGGAAAGGTTCTGGGCATCCACATCCCAGCTGCTGCCACTGCTTGACTTTCAGAGACAAATGAGCTATCCTAAAATCTGTGTTTTTATCAATGGCCGGCACAAGTGGGGAAGACCTGTGGCGGAGAGGAGAGAGGGAAGGTCCCAGTGCAGACCAGAAAAGTTAGGCAAACCTGAATGCATTACTGCAGTTTAATGCTCCGAAGATGGATGCTGTGTTTTGGTAATCCAGTTTATGCCTGGTTGCCCCAGGATTCTTGGAGCAGGACTTCAGTCTGGTGTTTAGCATTTGCTCAGTAAGGGCACTGCTACCCTTCTCTTGGAGGAGGGCTTTATGCTGTGTTAATCCCATTTTGGCTGCCGTGTTGCCTGGAAGCTGCAAGGGTCCAGAGCACAACGATGCTTCCTAGAACAGTGTGGGAAGCCTCAGCAACAGAGCACGTGTGCCTCATGGTATGTCAGATACAGATCTGCATAGAAACCCCAGCAGCCTTGCTGTCCTGCTCATAAACAGGATTTTTAGAGGTTATGACCTGCGTGGTGCTGACCAGGCCTGGCCAATTAAAAGGTGCAGGTCCCAATGTCACATCTTGTTTGCCAGAGTTTAATAGCAAATAAAGAACATGGGTAGAACCCAGGTACCCTCATTACCTGTCCCACACTAGGTTGTCTTGCTAGTGGTGCTCTGCCAGCCTTTCTTCCTTCACGTTCCAAAGATTTCTGCCAGTACTGAATCCACTTGGCCTAGCAGTCTGGTAGTCAAGCTTATCTGCAGGCAAAACAGCAAAAAGCATGTCCTTAGCCTGTCTTTTCCCTGGCTGTGGAAGAATGCAGTGTCCATTCCTTCAGGCACTGTTGCCTGTGGCAAATGACTTGTATTAGAGAGGATTATTAGCTGGTAGCAGTGCCCATGAACCCCACTATTGTTTTCTGCTCCTGTGCATTGCAGGTGCCACAGGCTGGGTGGTTCTGAGATATGGTTTGATTTTCCAAATTTGCCTCAAAGAGGCTCACAGGTGATGCCCACTGCACAGGCAGCTGCCTCACAATCTTGCTCAAGAAGGGTGGGAATCCAGCTAATTTAGCATGTTTGCTAAATTACAACTGTTCACTTTTTTGAGTGGGGAAAATGAGAGCTAACAGTGATACACTCAAAGCCTGTCTGGCCGCAAACACACACGGAGTGCAGCACAGTCTGGAAAAGTCATCCCTCAGATACATCACACAGAGCAAAACAAGATCTAATACATTAAAGTACACTTCCATCTGTAATCTGTTCTAGTGTAGCTGCCTAAAGGAAGAGAGAGTAACAGAATAAAATAAGTAAATTTTTCTAGTTAACATAAATCTAAGTTTATTATATAGCAAGCTAGATTTTTCTTCTGAAGTCTGCAATTTGATTTGGGGGCAGAAAGGCACTTACAGTATTACTAGATTCTGTACATTGGCATAAAAACTCTTGATCTTCTTTACTTTTTTCTTTTTTCTGTGATGTCCTTGAGTTTGTTGCACATCTTTTAAAAAGCCTAAGGCTTCCATGGCCCACGAAGGTGGCATCCAATGTGGAAACCACAGTCTGAACCCAATGGCTGTGATGGGACTTTGTGGAGTGCTACCGCACAAGCTGTCCCATCTGTGTTTTAGCTCAGAACTAACTAAGCTTTTTAAAAATCAGAACTCATGCTCCGAGCTCATGCCTACCACAGGTTTTACTTTCATGTACTGCAGCCAGCTGGGTTGGAACAGCAGTTTCACTCTCCAGATCTCCCCTGGGGCTTTAAGAAATAGGGCCACCCATTTTCCACTCACTTCCCACACTGGTGTCACCCATGGCTCCTACTCGCTGCCTCTCTCTTTTCCAAGTGCTCAAAGGTTGGGCAGCACAGAACTTTAAACAGCTCCATGAATCAGTGTGGGTTGGTTTTACAGGTTGTTCTGCCTGAAGCAAAAGCACCTTGCTGTTCCCTTGTACAGGGACTGGCTGTCCCCAGCTCAGGCTGGGCTCTCACTTCATGTGCTGCCAGGGTCATGATCCAGTGGTATGGAAATGCTTTCCTTCTCTTTGAAGTAGCCCAGACTTACTGAGCCCTTCACTGCAGATGGCATAATTTAATGGGTTTTGCGGTGAGGGCTGAGTTTATGAGAGGCTGAAAAAAGGTTTTTCATCGCCAGCAGGCTTCCAGGATCCTTCTGAAACAATTGCTGACTGCTGCCAGGATTGGTTTTGTTGTAATATTAATGATCTCTCACGGCAGCTTGTGTTTCAGAAACACGTCTTTTTAATAATTCAGATAAAAATAACCAAGATATAGATGCAAAACAGTAATGCTGTGTTTCAGTTTGAATTTAGAAAAGAAGTTAATGATACTTTAATGACATATAAAGGTACAAATGCATAGAAAATGCAGAACATCAAGAATCTAAACTACTTCAGTGCTGTACGGAAGGGTCTGTATGTAAGTTCACATTAAGTGCAATTCCAGCAGTTCTTCAGAGTTTACTTTGCACTTGCTGATAAACAAACCCACTTTCTAAGGCAACACATATCCTGAGACTGCCCTGAATGATGTAACTCAAGTTCCTTGCTTTCACGGGGGAGAATAAAAAAGGCTTTGCATGAAACCTCCTGCTTTCTGCAGGTGGAAGTACTCAGGCTGGTAGCTGAGTATAGCTGACTGCTATTCAACTGACAGACCTACAGTCTCACAATCCTTTAGTTGTTTTTAAATTTATTACTCTGTTTTACAAGAATTTTGGACAACTGACAGCCCTCACAATGTCATGGGGGCAGTTAAATGATTAATAGTCAGATCTTTAATAAAAAACTTGCTCAATAGAAGAACAGTGTTGGGAACCTGCTACATACAGATTGCTTGCCATAGCCTGATGCAGTGGTTCCCAGTCTTTGCCCATTTGTGAGTGCTGTTTGATTTACAGCATCCTCAGAATAAGTTTTGCAGTATGTACAGCTGTGAGCTTGGCATCTCAGTTAATATT